TATGATAACCATTCTTATGGAAAGCCATGTTTCTAACTCATACAATAACCATTCTTATGGAAAGCCATGTTTCTCACTCATATGATAACCATTCTCATGGGAAGCCATGTTTCTCACTCATACAATAACCATTCTTATGGAAAGCCTTTTTTCTCACTCATACGATAACCATTCTTATGGGAAGCCATGTTTCTCACTCATACAATAACCATTCTTAGGGAAAGCCATGTTTCTCACTCATACGATAACCATTCTTATGGGAAGCCATTTCAATGTTACGGCATGTCGTACTATGGGAAGCCATTTCAGTGTCTCATACATTGGTTTTTTTTTCATCAGACAAGGACGACTGTGAATCTGCCCCATGCCAAAATGGCGGCGCCTGCGCTGATTTGGTCAACGGTTACAAGTGCAATTGCGTGGCAGGATGGACTGGAGTAAACTGCGATGAAAGTAAGCTACGAAAAGCTAGATTGAGGGACAAGGTTGGGCAATATATTTTGGGCAGGAACTTTTTTTACGCCTCATGGCTAGCTGTGCAGGATTTTTTTGGACATAATTTGAAATCTTTATCTCGCACTATTCTTATGCACGATTTTTTTTTTCGATCTTTAAAGCCGTGCTCAAATTTTTTTTGTTTTTTTTGTTAATTTTTTTTTTTTTTACATTTTAGATATCGATGATTGTGCACCGCCTGGCCTTTGTCAAAATGGTGGAACCTGTGTTGATGCCGTCAACAGCTACTACTGCACATGCGCAAAAGGATATGAAGGCAGCAACTGTGAAATCAGTAAGAAAATAATTGATTTGTCTCCAGTCCCTCTCTTACTAGAAACACAGGAATCCCAATCTACATTAGTTGGCCTTTTTTATCTCAGTTGTGTTCGCCTTATGAAATCAAAGAAGAAGTTGATTGTAATTTTCTTAATTACAATGGAAAGTATTCTACGGACTCTCTGTGTCAGAGATTGATTAGTGGTCATATATGGAAAGTGATTTTAGTTTGAATTATTACGGGTAGAAGCATTTGTAAGTTGATAAGGTGTCCGTATTATAGAGGTCTGTTTATAAGTAAATAAGTGCTCCCATGAACAAAGGAAGTGTCTGTAATAGAGAGGTGTCCGTATTATAGAGGTCTGTTTATAAGTAAATATGTGCTCCCATGAACAAAGGAAGTGTCCGTAATGGAGAGGTGTTCGTATTATAGAGGTCTGTTTATAAGTAAATAAGTGCTCCCATGAACAAAGGAAGTGTCCGTAATAGAGAGGTGTCCGTATTATAGAGGTCTGTTTAGAAGTAAATAAGTGCAGTCAAGACCAAAGCAAGTGTTCGTAATAGAGAGGTGT